GATAAACAGTTCCTCTCCACTATATTCCAAATACTGTAGCTATAGTATTTATTGTAGACTACAATAAATATCATGGAGAGCGCACGCTATATTTAATGCTCTCAACACTCCTCTTTGCTCATTATAATATTTATATAATATAAAATTTGTACAAAATTATGATCTATATTTTTATATAAACTTGCAAGATCAACAATTGTTGCTTCATTAAAACCTTATCTAGGAAAACCTTATTATATTTAAGGACAAAACCATAGATGAAGGAAAAAGATTAGAATACCATTTTCTTTAATTATTTAAAGAACTCATTAACTTTCTTATTCAAGGAAAGTAAGTCATTGCATACTAATGCCATAAGTAAGTTGACAATGGTTGCACAATAGAAGAACTTTGGTGAAGAGATCATCAAGATTATTTGCAGATTTAATTTTTTTAATTTTAAGTACTTGATCAGTAATTAAGTCATAGATATAACTAAAATACTTTCAATTAATATGCTTTGTCTTGTTGTCTTTAATGAAACCAACTTGCATATGTGTAATATAAGCACTATTGTCTTTATGCAAAATAGTTGGAGAATCATCATATGAAAATCCACATGTTGTTTGAATGAATTTATCAATTGATTGCAACCAAATATATTCTTGAGATGCTTCATGTAAGGCAATAATTTCTGCATGGTTGAATGAAGTTGTAGTTATTATTTATTTCACTGATTTTCATGATATTTCAGCTCCATGTCTTAAAAATACATATCATGTTTGAGATTTAGCTGCTGCAATATTAGATTTATATCCTATATCACAATATTCAACCAATTTTGGATCTGCAGATTATGTGTAGTATAATTCCAAGTCTTCAGTACCTTTTAAATAGCATAATAAATATTTGATGCCATTCCAATGTCATAGTATTGGATGTGCTCTATATCTTGCAATAACACTAATTACAAATGTAATATCTAGTCTTGTAGATGTAGTCAAGTATAAAAGTGCTCCAATTACTACAAGGTATGGATATTGATCTCTTAATATTTTCTCCTCCTCCTCGTATAGACAGTATGGATCATGACCATCATAACCACGTCCAACTATTGGTGTAGACAATGGATAAGCATCAATCATATTGAATCTTCATAAGATTCATCTAATATATGTTAGTTGGTAAAAAAAAATGCTACCATCTATGAAATACATAATTTGAAGATTAATACAGAAAGTTTTTTTTCCTAGCATTTTCATCTCAAATTTACATATAAGCAGGTTAATAGCTACAACACATGCAAATTTAGTGCCCTCTAGGTTAAGATCATCAACATATATAGTGATGATCGCAAAACTAGTTTTATCTCGTTTGATAAATATACAAGGGATTAGTGGATCACTTACAAACTTATTTGTAATTAAATAATCTCAAAGACATTGATACCACATGCATCTCAATTGTTTTAAACTATATAAGGCCTTACATAATTTAATACCATAATATTGTCTTGGAGTAGGTCCATTTGGAATTCTTATTTCTAAGCCTGGTGGAACTTTCATATAAATATTTGCATCAAGAGAACCACATAGATATGCACTTACTACATCCATCAGATGCATCTCAAGGGTGGCATGAATTGCCATTCCAATAATATATCAAAATATAATTGAATCCATGACTAGAGAATATGTAGATTCATAATTAATGTCAAATCGTTGAGTAAATCCTTGAGGAACAAGACGAGCTTTATATCTGATTATTTGACCTTGAGTATCTCGCTTGCATATTAATTCCATCTTACATTCCACAGACAAGTCTATTTTGAGCATGTTCATATGGAACACAATATGTCAACTCAATTCTTGTTGTAGTATAATAGTCTTCAAAAAACTTTGATGTGAACTCTTTTGCATTATCCATATGCAATGTTTTTATAGGATAATCAAGAAAATGTGTCCAAAAATGAATAAGCATGGATATAAGATTTGCAAACACCATATTTCAAATTGATAATAATGAAACATGTGATTGTTTACCTAATACATCAATAAAGACCAAAAAATAACGAAATAGTCCCAATATTGGATTAATAGGACCACGAATATTACCATGCAATCTTTCAAGTATTAGTGGTAATTCTTATAGGAATTTCTAAATTGAAGGCCGAGTAATCATCTTACCTTGCACGCATGCACAACATAATTTCATAGAGTCTACATCCATAGACTTTAAATTGTATCCAGTTATACATAGAATGATCTTTCTAAATAATGTAGATCTTGGATGTCTCAATTGTCTATGCTAGAGAGAAGTACGACTCTTTGTGATAGATGATGTCAAATTAAATATAATAAGAGGTGGAATTACAATTCGATATAAACCATTTTTTGTAACAATTATTTTTTCAACAACTTTATGGTTCTTCGCAAGAACCAAAAATCTCTTTTCTATTTAAAATGGCTGTCGAGAGGTGATAACCATTGATATACATATCTCGATAGTTGATCAGATTCCAAGGTACTAAAGGTGTAAACATTGCATGTTTACATTTTATGATGAAACACACAAGTAATCTTACTATCGCTGTGCCTTCTTAGAAACAAAATGCATTTACTCCAGCCATGATCATTATATTTTTAATTTTCCAAATTGAATATTTTTTAATAAAAAATCATCTATTCCTTAGAATAGTATGTGTTATTGCAGAATCAATGAATGCATCATTTAATTCATCATTAGAAGTTTTGTCATTCATATAAGCCTTTAAGTCATCAACACCAATTGAATCCATGGATGCATCCATGGTATGAACTTCACGAGCGTCAGCTCGTAGTTTCTTATTTTCTTGGAATATTTTAATAAAATATTCTAAAATACAATACACATATGCTAAATGTCAAATCATTCCATACTTATGGCAAGAATGTATCTCTGATTTTTGTTTTTTACTATAATTAATAGTAGAATATTTATTCTTTCCATATCAATAAAAATGATCATGATTATGACTACCTTAATACTTATGAGTACATTTTCTATGTTTATATAATTTTTTTCTTAGACTTTGAAATTTGAAGTGCATGAGATTCTAGAACTCTGGTTCCAATAGGACGAGCTTCCGCATTGTGCAAGAGTAGCTCATTTTGCTTCTCCACAAGAAGTAGATAGGACATGAGATAAAAATGACTCTAAAATTTTATGTTCATGTATTATTGTGCAAGCACAGCAGATACAAGAGGAAATGTAAAGAGATTTTACTCAATCATTTCTTCTTCAGAGATGCTTTGTCCACATAATTGTAATTGTGAGATAATACTATATATTTTATTATTGAAAGCATTTGAATTTGAAAAATCCAAGACACATAAATGTGTCTAATTATGACGTGCGTGTGGAAGAAAAATGGTTTTTTGATCATCGAAGCTGGATTTAAGATTCTTCCAAAGTTTTGCAAGATCTTCCATTTTCAAATATTGATGTTATAATGCAAGTACAAGATGACGAAGAAGGAGAAGATGTGCTTTCCAATGAATAGTAAGAGGAATAATATTACTTATTGTAGGAGATTCTTCAAATATAATGATATTTGAGAGTTGTTCTATAAATAAATTTTCTTTTTCTATTTTTGCCTATAATAGATTATTATTTCTATCCATAGTCAATAATGGAAATAAAAGATCTTGAAAATATTAGAATATATTAATAATAGTTGGAACCATAGTAGAAGTAGTTGAAGATGTTGAAGCACTCATTATAAATAAATCTATAAAGAAAATACAAGATCAAGTAGAAAAGTTGAGTAAAATGTATCTTAAAATATAAAGTCAAATAAAATGATTAACTTGAATTTGAAAACAAAAAATTTGTATATATATATATATATATATATATATATATATATATATTTTTGTAAACAAGGTTGTAGATTGTGATAATAGAGCAACAGTAGGATAGTACCGATAGACAGCGGTGGGGCGGCAGGGTTGCAATAGTAGGGACGACGGCAGTTGACGGTCAGCAACAACGGTTGTTTGGCAGTAATTTGGTAGCAAGCGCGGGGTATAGCAGGGAGGTTGGACTAGAGCAAGTATTCTAAGCAAGCAGGGCAAAGAGTGGAGCAAGTGTTCTAAGCAAGCTGCTAATGTGTGAGGGGCCAGCAAGAAATGCAACAAGATCATGAGTTAGAGAAGGAGCAAGAGTAGCAATAGGTTTGAAGAGTCAAGACTAGAGCAAAAAAAATTGTGATAGTATATAGAAGAAAGTCATGCTAATAACGTGTTGAGAATGTTTAAAAAGACACAAGAGTAGTAGTAAGTAATGCACACATACACAAGAATAATAGTAAGTAATACACACAAGAGGATTTTTAAGGAGAGGGAGCTTCATACATAAAAATCTATTGATCTAGTTGTATCTCATATACAAGAAGAGAAGGAGAGATGATAAATAATTCTTCTCTACTACATTCCAAATACTGTAGCTATAGTATTTATTATAAACTACAATAAATAATATGGAGAGTGCTCAATAAGGTGAACAATCAATGGACGTTTTGGTTGTAAAAGTGCCTACATGGTAGCACTTTTTATGGTAGTATTGGTGCCAAAAAGTTGTCCATTTACATAAAAATTGGGCCTATTAGAATAGATGCTCAATTCTCAATCAAGTACACAAGATCAAAGTCATATTTATTTTATTTTAATGACTTTTACATTGACTTAATGGCCAGTTTTAAGTCGAGTTGTCCAAGGTCCGCCTGACCAAACAACCATACTTTGAAGTGACTCTGTATACGAGGTTGGTTTGTAACAAAGGTAAAATGGGCTCAGGTGGACGGATGAATATAATCGCAGTCTGGGTCGCTCACTCCAACGGAAATCGTACATCCATAAGGTCATTGACAAATCCTAAACCCTGAATTCAAGCTAATAAGGATGCTCCCTCCATCGCCAACGCTAAGGTGATGGTCACGCCCTCTTTCCTCGTTTTTGTGTCTCGGCTCCACTGGCCGTAGCCATGAAGTTCTCTCCTCGTAAGCTTCTGTTCTTCTTGCTCTTCTATGCTGTGATTTTCGGCTATGGAAATGGAGTTTATCGCTCTATTTTATCTGAGTGGGAGATTTGGTCGAGAGGTTTAGTGGTTGGAGTTGTACATGAGGTTAGTGTTACGCTGGAGATAAGAAATTGGCTGAAACAGATGTAGTGGAGCTGTTGAACATAAATCCAATTATCACAAATTCTTGCAGTAGCTGTTGGTTGTTAAATGGTAAAGGCTTGTGTGCCTCCACATGTTGCTAGCAGTCGCATGACATGTTCTGAATTGGTGGATGTGTTGGTGCAGGTGTGAGCAGCTCAAGGCGTAAGTCAAGGAAGGCACACTTTAGTGCCCCTTCTTGTGAGAGACGGATTCTTATGAGCGCTTCCCTGTCTTCAGACCTGAAGAACAAATACAATGTAAGTCGGATGTTCCACTAATAGATTTGGAACTTAACTAAATGGCGTTCCAACTGCATGCTGTTCAATTAAAGACAACGCGCATTTTTGTATGATCCAGACTGAGATTTTGTATACATGGATTGTTCTGCAATTGTATAGCTCCGACAGGTCGCGCCCATGCTTCATTGGTTGGCGCGTGAGTAGAATTATTTAGTAGTGTCCCACGAGTTATTTCTGGTATCGTGGTTTGATGTTCACTTGAGCGAACGGTTGCAGGTTCGCTCTGTACCAGTAAGGAAGGATGACGAAGTCATGGTGGTCCGTGGCACATTCAAAGGCCGAGAAGGGAAGGTTGCTCAAGTATATAGACGGAATTGGGTGAACCACGTTGAGTGTATCACTCGCGAGAACGTGAACCGTAATCCTCTTTTCGAGACCATGTAGTTAGTTTTAGACGACCCTTGAAGTTTTGTGGAGTAATGAGATTGTGTCTGGGACGAGCTCATTGGATTTCACGGTTTGTGATTGCAGGAGCCACCGTTAATGTTGGAATCGATGCTTTGAAGGTAGTGACAACGAAGTTGAAGTTAGACAACGACAGGAAGGCTCTCCTTGACCGTAAGGGCAAGGGTCGATCTGCAGAGAAGGGAAAAGGGAAGTTCGTAAATGAGGATATGGCTCCTCCCCTGCAGGAAGTGGATTAAAGAAGTCTTTATTTTCGTCAGTGATACTTCTCAGATGTATGATTGTGGGATTGATGTTGTGTGCAGTGGACAAGTTCTAATTGAAGGCTCTGTTGTGTATGGTTATTCATGTCATCCTTCTAGTCTGAGTTATAACCCTGCCCCTGGTTGTTCATATCAGTCTACGAGGGAAATTGATCTGATTTTCGTTTCACGTGTGAGTCAATTGTCAATGTCTGCTAGGACTGAAATTGTTCTTTCCACACAATTTTAATAGCCAAGTGATGTGACCTAACTGGTCAACCATGATGCGGACAGGTTTGGCTTTGCCCATATCTGACAGACCGAGTCTGATGGCTATTCCGGAGCGAGTCTATGGAAGATGTACTTTGAGCTCAATGTGCTACGTAAGTGTTTCATTCGTGAGTCTGCATTGTGCTTTGTATATTTTTTTAACGAGTCGTCACGTTTTTGTACTGCAATCGTTCGCACTAACAAACTGATTACAAGCTGGTCTCCATTGCCAGTTTAGTATGATATTGTGCTCATAGACACTTCCTCCATTGGTACAAATTGCACATCACGGTTGTGCTGTTTTCAAATTGGGGGAGAAATCCATGGAGTTCTTCACAATAGTTGCCTTCTTACTTTACGGAATATTGGTCTAGATGTAGCCTCTCGTCTTGCTCTTGGTTTTCTAGAGATTGAGAACTTTCTGTCAGGTGATGTGATCTTTTAGCTGTCAGGCACAATCCCAGGAGACACAGCTTAACCGAGCCCCTCAACGGGACTGCCTTTAGGATTGGTACTCCGAATTGTGATTTTAGTTCTTTTATTGTTTATAAATGGAATACTTACATATAGAAGAAAATTAGTCGTGGTTCATGTAAATAACCTAAACTGAATTTATAATGTAACTTCTGTCATGAACTGTACTAATTCTGCAGAATATACTGAAACATGTAAAAACCATGATTCTTTTCAAGGATAAGTGGTGGACTATTCATGTTTTTTACATAATTTTTTGTTTCAACATGTTTTTTTATAGTGTTTCAACATGTTTTTTACATGACTTTTAATAATGTAAAAACAATATGTTATTTATTTTAACCAATGGTAGTATTTATGGATTTTTTAATTTTTTTTATATTTGTTAATTTGAGTTTATACATGTTTAATATGATTGATAAGTAAAAAACTGGATCAATAAGTTGATAATGTGTTGTACATATTGGCCATTTATATTACAAGTTGGCAATGAGGTGCACGTATAAGAGTCTTGTTTTATAAATTAGACACATATCGTGCAAGTTGGATATGTGTTGGAGGTTCTATAGAATGTTGCTATGTAGTTCTTTGTAAGATTGTACATATGAAGGCAAAGGTGAGAACTTCTTCACTCTTATCAACACATTTCTTATTTTTAGTCTTGTTTTAAAAGTTTTTAGTTTTTTTTTAATCTTTGATAATAACCACTTTAATTTTAAAATTATACCATCTTTAATTGATTATTTTTTTTCTTTAATGACAAAAAAGTGTATTGATATTTTGATTTTTTATGATTAATGTTTTTAATAGTTTGATAAGTATAATAAAATATTATTATTATTATTATTATTGAGAAGTGAATGAATTATGCCATTCTTTTTATTTTGTTTTAAAAGTGGTGGACTATTTATGTTTAAATTATATATATTTTAATTTTCTAACATTTATTATTTTTTTATAGAAAGTAGATTATCTTTTTTTTGTAGAAATTTTTATTAGATATTAGAGGTTGCATATAATCTTATGTTAATTCAATTTACAGATTTATTAAAGTCATTTGTTAAAAAGTTGGAAGAAAAGATCATAGATGCTATACTTAATAGAAATGAAAAAAAATATATAACTATTGTAGATCTTTACAAGCTTGCCAACAATCTTAGGATAGAAATTTTACATATTATCAATATCAATTATGGAACTATTATTCTTAAGCGTTTAGAAGAAATCAACAATAAGGTATAATGTTTATGCCAATCAATAGTGCAATTGAGAGAAATGAGTTAATCAACTTTATAAGTGAATTCAATTTTTTTTATGATTATAAAAAAATATTAATAAATTAAAATTTTTAATAGATTAAAATTAAAATTTTGATGATTTCTACAATAAATCAATACTATCTACAATTACATCATTTCTAATATTTTGATGGATTTATTCAAGTTGGAACCTATAATCGTCGTTTGACTCGGACTCAAAACACCAAGATATTTGATCAGTATAGGTGGATTCGATCTCGGGGAAAGACTCGTTGTATGAATTGGATATGTTATGTCACAATTGATTATGTATTAATTATCTAAAACTTCCAAAGTTCTCTTCCTCATCTCAATTCAATCCCTTCACAATCTCTACAATCATTCACTGCCTTGCAGCTACTAAATATCACTGACATTCCTGACATCTACAGGATGCTTAATCTCTTTCCACAATACTTCAATTCTCAATTCCTTTACTTTTACTCAATCTTCCAGTGCTACTAACACAATGCAATAATCTCTATTATCACAATCACACTTTCTTTCTCCAAATTAATTAATTCGAATTCATAATTTTCAATATCTCAATCACAGTTTCAGCAATCCTTTTCTTAAATCCAATACTAAAGAAAAACACAAAAGCAAAGAAAACAAAAGGATAGCTCCAAACTTTACCCTGACTCACGACTATCACAGTTTGGCCCCCATTCCTTCTTCCTCAACCTCTTTATCCTACCAAAATATGAATCGTCATTCAGCAGATTCCACAGGTTGTGAAACTTTGGCTTCTTAATCGTATATGTTCCTAACTTCCTACTATTAACAACTAATCGAACTAACCATTCATCTAAATTCCAACATTACTACTATTTAACCGATAACGAACCAGAAAAGTCATTTATACATTCTACATAGCCCCATTCCTTACTGTGCAGCGTCCTCGCAAACCACCTCGTACTACATTTTACAATATCACCACATCATTGGCTTTCTCCAATGTCTGAACCTCTGCTCTGCCTTGGTCCGTTTCATCATTTCCATAAGTGAGATTGGTTTCGACTTCTTGAGCTTCTTCTCCAACTCCCTCTCCCACCTGCTCTCCGTTCAATAAAGTTGTCAAATCCTCGTTAAGTGCTCCCAATTCCCGAACCTGAGACTCCAAAAGCGCAATTTGGGTGTCTCGCTCTTTCAGCTGCTCTTCCAAGGCATGCACCTGTTTCTCTAATTCCCATAAAGATGTACTTGCTGGATTGACCTCTCCTTGCTGCGTGGTAACTGTAATCATTTCTGCCTCCAATTCGGCAATCCTTCTCTTCAATTGCTCGTTCTTCGTCTTCGAGCTCTCCAATTGTCTCCAAAAATTGTCCTCCAATTTGGATCTCCTGGCTTCCAATTTCGCCACCCTATTCTTTTCCTTCTGGTATTGGTTCCACAACTCCATACACTCCTGCTTGGTAAGCTCCATCAGAATCTTTGCCAACTTATTCTCCTTGGCCCATTTCGCTTGGGTCTCCTTGAATTGGTGCTCTAATCTTGAATATTTGAGAGCGTCCGTTACTGAAGCACGTTGTAAATCCCCAATCTTCTTCTTCTGATCCTCAATGATCTTGTCCTTCTCCTCCAGTACCTGTCTAAGGCTGAACTCATTGCCCATTTTTTCAACGGCCATCTGTAATTGAGTAATTTGTGCCGAGATTAACTCCTTGAGTTCTCTTGCCTGCTGGCCAGTTCCCGATAAACCCACCCGTTGATAATATTCTACCAGTACTGGTAGAGTGACGGCCATATTGGTACTGGGACGACCCAATTCTCTAGATGACGAGCTGACATTGGTCCGTTCGTAATTTCTAGCTTGGCTGCACTCTGCCATCGCCGCTTCCTCGACTTATTTTGATGGCAATGGCGTTGACTCTACTCTTATCTCTGTTGCTACAGCGTCTACTCTCTCCACCATTGAAGGTTGTTTCAGTTGATATCTAATTGCTTCACATACGTAGTTGGAGCATAACATCGTGGTAACCTTCCCTGTTCTTCTTTTCACGTCCAATTCCACATGGATTCCGGTCGCAACATACGCTGCCCAGTTGAAGACCATCCCCTCCAGCATCGCAATTGCTGAAAATAATAACCTCCTTGTCATATACGTCGAATGTCAGTTCAGCCCTAATCGCTTCTGCACAAACCGCATCCATTCTCCCAGCTTCGGCGTAAGCGCATCCGCTGTCTTCCACCCTTGATTTTTCTCAAATGCTTCGTTTTCCGACTTGAAGTACTTGCTTGGAACAAAATCAGACTCCAAGTCTTCCGATACCGGTAGCTCACCCATGGGAAGATATAGAACCTTGTTCAACGTCACCTCATCTATACCAATAATTCTCCCATGAATCACATTGGACCCGTCTTCCGGATCATAATTCGTCACATATTCCGTTAACAATGCTATATCTATTGGTGGTAGCCTCTGCAAAAACTTCAAAAACCCATACATCTGTGCCGTGCAAAACTCTCTCTGTCTCCTTTGCGACCAAAAAATGTCCATAGCGACCGGCTCCATGCTGGTCACTATCACGCACTCGATTGGTGGCAATGCTTCCTTCGTGTTGACATTACGCTGTCGCTCCTCTCTCGTAGCTGTCCTCTTCTTACGCTCAATCACCATCTTTGCTACTCACGATAATCCTCTAAATCCTGTGCTTAGCAACATGAATCAAGAAATTGCAATGTAAACAATGCCAGCCAAGAGCCCCATTCCTAACTTCTACCCTGGTTCTCCTCCTGATATGACTTAACCTAACAGGCCTATAACAACCTATCCTATTAGTGTCTTCCTGACGGCTCACCTTCACTCAACCCGTCCATAATCTCATCATCACACGCTCTTTCCTTCCCATCACAACTCTTGCGTTGTCACTTCAATACTAAATTGGCTTTCTCTCTCCCCCCCCACCGATATAAAACCTGTCCCGGGTTTATGTAGTATACAGACGTAGCCGATTCCCATTTATACGCGTGGTAAATTTAGCACCCATAAAGTCTTCCAATTAGACTAAGCCATTGAGAAAACCCTCAATGACTCTGTATGGCCCATGCCACCGAATATGAAATTTTCTTAGAAAATTTTTAAAACGACTGTCATAAAGCAGTACCAAATCATTGGGCATAAAAAATTTTGGTTTTAATTTACTATCATAATAACTTTTCCATCGCCTTTGAGTGGCCTCCTGTCTCAATAGGGCATTGGTTCGAGTTTCATCCAACTGCTCCAATTGTGCGAAATGAACTTGTAACGACTCCGTATCCCCCAATCGTTCCTCCAGTGCAATGCACAAACTTTGAACTTCAAATTCGATAGGTAATATTGCTTCCTGACCATAAATTAATTGAAAGGGTGTGGCATTAGTCATAACTTTATATGCAGTACGGTATGCCCACAAAGCGGCAAACAATTTAGTGTCCCAATCCGTGCCTGCACCAGATATTGTCTTGGTGATAATTGTACATAATATGCCGTTGGTCTTTTCTGTTTGGCCATTTGCTCTGGGATGATACAGTGTCGTCTTGCGGTGTTTAATCTCATATTTAGCAGTCAATGCTTCAATTGTACTATTAATGAAATGGGTTCCTCGATCACTGACCAATTCTTTTGGACAGCCAAACCGTGTAATAATATTTTCATATAAGAATGTGGCTACATCACTAGCACTATCAGATTTTGTTGCCTTCGCTTCGGCCCATTTGGTAACATAGTCCGTGGCAACCAATATATACCGTTTTTGTCCATGGCGAGAGGCAGGTGCAATTGAGCCCATGAAATCAATACCCCATTTTTCAAAAGGTGCCTGTGCCAGAATTGGAACTAACAGCATTGCGGATGTACCCGTAGGATGACCAATTTGCTGGCACGGGTCACAACGACGTGCAAACTGGTGAGCATCCGCAAACATTGTCGGCCACCAATATCTCGCTTGTAAAACTTTGCGTGCTGTGTTGTCGCCTGCAAAATGTCCACCACAACTATCCAAATGACATCCTTCCAATATAGTGCGTGCTTCATTCTGATAAACGCAACGGCGTAAAATTCCGTCTTTCCCTTGTTTATATAAAGTTTCTCCAATCATAGTATAAGGTGCGCTTTTCAAAACGAATCTTCTCTTAAGCTTCTCCGTAAAATGGAAAGAAAAAGTTTGAAAAGTCAAATACTGTATTAATTCGCTATATTTCGACGTAATTAGGTTGACAAGAAATAACTCAGCATCAGGTAATGCATTAGAAATGGGTTCATTTCCCAATATATTGGACAGTCGCGATAGATGGTCCGCATTGGCATGCGACTTCCCGAGCCGTACATTAATAGTAAAATCAAATTCTTGTAAAAGCAATACCCATCTTGCGATGCGGCCACTCAACTGGGGCTTGTTAATCATATATTTTAAAGCGTCATGATCCACGTGGAAGACAAATTTATATCCAAGAAGATAATGTTGAAACTTTTGGACAGAATAAATCATTCCCAAAGCCTCTCGCTCAGTTGTAGTGTAATTCCGTTCGGCAGCCACCAACTGACGGCTTGCATAATAAATAGGATGAATGTGGCCCTTGTCATCCTTCTGGCTCAATACCGAACCAATCGCAACATTAGAGGCATCAACATAAACCTCAAAAGATTTTGTCCAACAAGGGGCAACCAATATTGGTGCAGAAACCAATTTTTGTTTTAATGTTTCAAACGCAACTGTACATTCCTTAGTCCAAATTGGTTTGAGACTGTCCGGTCGTTGCTTTTTCAACAAATTTATCAATGGAATATAGATAACAATAAATAGATAAATAAAACGTTGATAATAGCTAACATGCCCAATAAAGGTGCAAACACCTGTCACTGTATCGGGTATTTGGAGTTCTAGTATAATTTTTATTTTATCCGGATCGGTGGCGATACCTATTTCCGATACGATATGACCCAATAATTTTCCTGAGGGTACTCCAAATTTACATTTTTCTAAATTCAAAGAAATTCTAAATTTAGCACATTTGCTTAAACACCGGCTCAATTTGTCTAAGTGTTCTTCTCTGGTGCTGAATGTGTAGAAATCATCTAAAAAGATTTCCATTGAAACCCGTAGCTCATCTTGGAATGCTTGCATCATCACCCTCTGAAATGTAGCTGGCGCATTACAAAGTCCGAAAGGCATGACCTTATAAGCAAAAGTTCCCCAATCCGTAGTAAACGTAGTCTTTAATTGATCCTCTTTTGCAATTTGTACCTGATTATATCCGGAAAAACCATCAAGAAACGAATAACATTCGTGGCCTGCTACTGCGTCTAAGATACTATCTGTAAATGGTAAAGGAAAGTAATCCTTCTTTGTAGTAGCATTCAACTTTCAAAAATCTTGGAAAATTTGGACTTTCCCGTTCTTCTTGGGAACCATAACTATCGGCGAAACCCATTCACTATGTGGTACAGGATATATAAATCCCACCTCCAGAAGCTTATCCAATTCCTCCTTGACCATCAACAAATATTTAGGATTCAGTCGATGTTGCCTTTGTCATACTGGTGTAGCCGTGTCCTCCAATTTTATTTGATGCTCACAAACTTCAGCTGGAATACCCTTCAAATCTTTATAAGACTAAGCAAAAGCTGATTTATGTTTTATAAAATAATCTGTCCAAAGCTCTTTAGTTTTATTCGTTATACCATCATAAATTTGAATCAATTTGGGATTATCCTTTGTGCCTAGATTTATTGATTGACACTTTGGTCCATTAAGAGCTTCAGCGGTAATCTTCTGCTCTGTTTTGGGATCTTTCAAAAACTCCGACAAATTGGAGCTTTTCAATTCGGGATCTATAGCACCAACTTGATTAACATCTCTTCACTGCATCCAGTGTGCAATCATATGATCTGAATCATCAATAATGTCTGGAAGAACAAAATATTCTCCTGGTCCTCCACAATGGTAAATATTCCTATTTTGTACTACAACTTCCCGTGCCTCGACAGCCTTTGATTTTGAAACAACCAGTTCTTCTTCCATATACTCCTGTTCGCAGTCCGATGTATATTCTGGACTGGTAATTTGAGTTTCTCCGTGATACTGAAGAGGATACATTTGGAGCACTATTTTATCCTTACCCTTTCCAATTGTTAGCGTTCCATGACCCCAATCGTTCCGAGCTTCAGCTTGATATAGCCACGTTCGACCCAACAAAATTGGATATGATAATACTGTGCTTTGCAATCGGAATAAAATATAATCAATTGTGTATGTAATCCCCGCAACAACTGTATCAATTCCTCGTAAAGTACCCATAGGTAGGACTCGACTTGAATCTGCCATTCGCAAAACAACCGCAGTTAGCATTAATTGGTCCAATCCCAATTCTTCCATTGTATCCACATTCATAAGGTTAACGCTAGCCCCGCCATCCACTTGTACACCCTGAATTAATACTCCACCAATTGATACATCAATAGTCGGCGCGCCTGGATCTGGATTCAAACTTACTTCACAAATTTCTTTTTGACGAGTTCTTCGTCGAATCAAAGAAGAATTTAAGGTGTTACGGTATTCTGGTGCTACTGCCAATAATTGCTTTATTGTGATTGTTGGTTGAATTGAACCTAAATCCTTCAGAATATCATAGGGTTCCATATTGGTCATGATTCCCAATGTCTTTTTTTTCTTACGGATTTCGGATCCCGGTCCCCGTATATTGGTACTTCCAATATCAAAAATTGGTACTTCTTCGATTTCTGGTTGCAACTGCTCCTTGAAAATTGGATCCTTTAACTGGTGTGACTATCCACCGTATTGGTGTAATATTGGTACTTGTGAAATTGGTGGACGCACCAATATATTGGTC